TATTAAAAAAAATATAACCAAAATTTGGTTAGCATGCAGCCCTTTAGGGCTATACTTGTTGGGCTACTTGTATTCAAATAATATCTTTCTAAGATACTATAGGAAAAACTGCTAATAAAAATTTTTAAATGTTAGTAGTAAAAATGTTTTCAGTGGGAAAAATTAGGTTTGTAATAACCATTTGTACATAGTACCCTGTGAAAATAAGACTTTGACTATATGTTTTCTACACTATTTCATTTTTTCTGACAGTTCCTTTTTTCCCTCCTACTTTGTAGGTGTATTTAGCCCGAAAGGAAGGATCATCTCATGGTCATATTTCCTGGAAGTTTGAGTGTGGATCAGTTGGCCTAAAACTAGATAGCATTACCATTAGAACAAGTAGTCAAACCTTTCAGACTGGAACAATACAGTGGAAACTGCGATCTGATACAGCACACGTAGAACTGTCCGGCGGTAAGCATTTGACCAGAGAATTAATCATGCAGTGTGTATTTAACACTCTGAAGAGTAATTGTACTTATTTGAGATGTAGTTTTCAGTCTTTTATACCCAAGAGTTATTCATACTATTGCAGAAAATTAATTAAAACCTGCATAACCTCATTCTAATAGAAGGGCTTATGTTTTTTATTTTGAAACAGATAGAAGAAGAATCATTTGTTTCAAAGGACACATTTCCTTCATAAAGAATCATTTGTTTTTATATTTATTTTTTAAGGGTTGATTTTTACCTACAGGTGTATAAAATGCATCCCAAAACTCTTTGTTATTTAAGTTTCCAACGCAAAGTATTATTTTTTTTCCTCCAACAGATAAAATTCCTCGCTCCTATCATGATTTTTCTGGTGCCACAGAAGTTATTTTGGAAGCAGAATTAAGCAGAGGAGATGGTGTTGTTGCTTGGCAACATACTCAGCTATTTAGACAAAGCTTAAAGGACCAAGAAGAAAATTGTTTGGAGATAATTATAAAATTCAGTGACCTTTGAGAACCTGAATATTATAGAAAAGCTGGCAATAATCAAGGACTTACCATGTTTTAGATTAGTCTGCTGGTTCAGTGCATGCTTAGCGGGCAATTTACTACTCTGCTAGCATATTTCTTTTGCTAGCTATCCATCATGTAACCCTCCTGGAAATATATCTTTGTACTATGGACCATAATTAAACCTTGAATTAAAAGCTCCCTTCCATATGTGACTGTAATTTGGAGTAAAGTCTCATTGCCCCAATATGAGATTTTAATCTAAAAAGTATAAGCATAGTTTAAAGTAAAATGAAGGTATTCATGATTAAATGCTGTTCATGATTATGATAAAAGTTTAAGCTAGTAATAGTAACTTGATATTTTATGACCAGCTATTGATTTCTTCATAAGTTAATTGAATCAGGTTTCTTAAGATTTTTAATTTTTAATAACTGTGAAAGTGTAGTATCTCATAAGTTATGCATGAAAATTTTTATGATTGTAAATATGTAGTCATTTAAGAAATAAATTGAATTATTTTGCTTTATATCTTTTTAGTGGTTACTTTGCCTAAATAAAAATCTTTAATAAGTATGCTAACAATTGAAAACAGCTTGAATAGACAAGAGTTATGAAAACATTGACTGCATAAATTTATATACATTATAAGTCCATAATATGTAGACTCATCAGAAAATGTTTTACTTTTGATTTTTCTTTTGAGTATTTTTATCTACCTCATTGAATAAACTATCTTGACTTTGAAACCATGTAACTGTATTATACAATATTTATATGCTATATCAAGAGTTGTTTGTAAGTGTTCCATATAACCTCTCCAATTAAATTTAGTGAACATTTATTAGCATGTGTGTGCAAAAGTATTGTGATTGCACTGTGAAGGAGACAGTGTAAAAAAGCCCCTGTCCCCTAAATGCCTTTGTGATGTTCTGCAAAGTTCTCAACTTTTCATACCAGAAAAGCACATTCTCAGAGATTCTCATCCTGTGCAACTCAGTAAAGCTTGTGTATACATTATAAAATACATACTACCACTCTGGAACAGAGATTTTCTATTTCCTCTGTAATTGTATTCAAACTCAGTTGAAGAGCACTTTCTTGCTAAAAAGTTTCATTTCAAGAAAAGTAGTTTGTGCATCTAAAGTTATTAATGTGGTTTAATATTAGAAAGTTTTCAGGAAATCTTGGACTCCTGAGTTAATCATAGCATTGTATGGTGGCCAAATACATGAAATTGGAGATTTGATTCTTATCTGTCTTAAAGTGTCTGGTATTAGCACATGAGTATGTTGATGATCAGGTGAACCAACCCTCTTAACCCCTTCAGAGAAACCGGAAGATCAAGCAGTTTTATAAATTTATATATATATAAGCCTAAGCGACCAGCCAACCGACTGACCAGTAGCTATGACATGCACTGACCATCAAGGGCAAGACGCTCAATGCAGGAGCAGAAACCACAGGCATGGAAACATGGAACAGAATGATAAATCGCAGAGGGGAGGGGGGAGCGTGGGAAGAGATTAATCAAAGATCTTATATGCATTCTAGAGGCCCGGTGCACGAATTCATGCACCGGTGGGGTCCCTCGGCCTGGCATGTGCCCTTTCGCAATATGGGTTCCTTTGGGGGATGTCAGAAAGCCGGTTTTGGCTTCATCCCCGCAGGCCAGGCCAAGGGACCCACGAGTGCACGAATCCATGCACTGGGCCTCTAGTATAATAAAAATGTGGGAACTCAACTGATTATACTTTATCTGTGAAAAGGATACATTATCCTTTAAGCAGGAAAAGGATGTGCTATACATTATAGAGTTGAACTGAAGAGAAAAAGTAATAGCACACTCTTAAATGTATACCATGAGAGTTTCAACCCCAATTCATGTTATTACATATTTTATTATACAGATAAGGTTGGAAATAGCATAGAAGGTGTGGGACAAAACAGTTCTCAATGTGTCAAGCTAAGGGACAGTAATCTGGTCAGGCAAAAGTAACTTAGCAAAGAAGGGCCCTTGGTGCCGACATACTCAATAAACAGGCACTGATACGAGGTTTCACTTTTTACAGCAATCATTCAGTCTGTTGTGACTGAGGAGTGGATGTAAAGCACTGAGGAAATAGGCTCCTCTCTTTTCACTGAGGAAATTCAAACCCGAAGAAGTTTCATGACCAAATCCATCCAAACAATTCAATGGATTCGTGACATAGGCAAGATTCACTTATACATCAGCTTTTCTTTCTGCTAAGCTTCAGGGTTATAGAATGATAGTCCTATTGTATGGGTTGTCGTTTTAATACATGTTTCATGAATATAGATCTTTTGATAGGTACATTCTGTTTGAGGAGGTATTGAAATTGATATTAGAACCAATGATTTTTCTAACTATAGTTAAACTGTTCTGGGAAATAAACATTGTAATTTGACAATAGATAAGATATGGGTGCTTTGTATTTGTGTAATATATTTTTAAATATATTTTTTATTGTTGATAGCATTACAGATATCTCCCCTATGGGCCTTCTTTCAGTCCCATTACCCCTTTTTTATCTTCCCCAGGGACAACTATAGTCAGGAATTTAGAGTTTATTTTATTTTTTTGAACTTTTACTATATACATACATTTAATAATAAGTAATACTGACTTGTATAATTTTAAATATATTTAACTAATATAAATAGCACATAATGTTCTACAATTTGCTTTTTTAGTCATTTTCTAAAATATGTCGATATAGACTTACCTATCTTAACTCCTGCATAGATTTCATCATTGAACAGTACCGAAATTTACTTTCCCCTTACCAACCTGATGGCTATTTGCTTTTTCTCAGTGTTTATTACAAGCAGTTATTATTACTTTTACAATCAACACTGTCTGTATTCCCCTGTGAGTAAAGGCAGATTCTCTAGGATATATTCCTAGAAATAGAATTGCTGAGTCAGGGTCTATGTACTTTTCAAAGGTATTGCCAATTGCTCTCCAAGAGGTTTAGTGCCAATTTACAGTGTTTGGCAGCTCAGTCCAATTTCTGCTTCTCTATATCCTGGCCTACACAAAATTTCACTGAACTTTATCATTGTTGCCATTATGACCGGAGTTAAATAGTATTTTGTTGCTTTACTTTGTATTTTCCTGATTACCGATGAGTTTGAATATCCTTTCACATTTATTAATCATTTGGGATCCTTATTGTGTGATTGTCCATTCCAATATTTTGCCCTCTTTTCTGTTGGGTTCTTTGTCCTTTCTCACTGATTTTTAGATCTTCATATATTTGGGACAGCAATTTGCTTCATATATTTCTCTGCATATATGATCTACTTATTAATATGTTGATGATCCTTTCTTTGTCAGAAACAACACAAAACAACAAAAAGCCATCTCCCATGCAAGATCTACTCGGGAAGATAACTTTTGATTTATAATCCCTGAAGCCAGTCTTCCTAGGTAAAGGGCTTTGTGGGAAGAAAAGGGACAAAGCAGTATCTGGTAGCAATAAAGAGTGGTGTGTTAGCTTCCTGGTGTTCTGGAAATATAAATGAATGAAATTCCATGTGTGATGGCAGCATGCTTATAATTTGGAGATGTTTCAGCTTAGGAAGAAATAAGTGCTTGAAAATGAAGGCATTCTCATGTGGAATTCTTTGGTGGAAAGAAATACTGTCATCTGAAATGTTATGTCATCCCTTGCAGATGTAAAAGACTGAAAAAAGCAAAGAGAGCCTTTGATCTTCACTTAATAAATATGGAACCATCAAAGCTCTGGTACTTCTTGTAAACCTAAATTTGAAACAGATTCCACGCTCAGGAAGAATGATGGCAGGAGAACTTTGTAAAATGGATCACGGAAGTAGTTGCATTTCAAAAAAACTCATGGTTGAAAAACATGAGAGCTATAATTTCAGTTGGATTCAACTCATCTGACAAATGAGTGTAAGCACGGAGTGGTCATGCACTCAAGCCATGCATCTTGGCCACTAAGGAAAAATATGATATTTTTATTAATA